TGAAACAGAGTGGGCGATACCACATAGTTATACATATACTCTGGGATTGGTGGAAAGTCAGATTGTTCTTTGTTGTAAAAAAAATCCTCTTTGGCACCCATCGTCTTGAACACCAACTAGCTTCCCCCATCTACAATGGATAGTTGCTTTTGCTTTTTGGAAAAAGGAGGGTATAAACACTTGTGTGAGGTATTTTAGAGTTACACAATATGAGCATTTAATGATAAACACGTTATGGAGCACCTGTTTCAATAAGTTTGTAATGCTTTCGGACATGTCATTTTGTGAGCTCTCTTAAAGGTAAGAAATATGTCTCCCAAGATTTGCTTGGGGGAGCACAAACAGAGACAGATAAAGTCTAAAAGGACCTGGACTGACACTGCAATGGTGTTGAAACTGAACCAATACAGTTCTGTTTAGGACACTTTCATTAGTGTGGAACGGTCTGAGGGCAGAATGAAACTAATCAGGGAGTGAATTGGAGAAGACAGAATCAAGCGCAGGGAAGCACAGTGGTAAAATGGAGGAGGGAATTATGATGGAAGCTGGAGAAGCAAGTGTGGTTAAGTGTTTTTATTAAAGTAAAAGCAAAGAAGCCAGGTGAAATGAAGTTGAGAAATGAAGTAAAGAAAGACAGCACATGGGAGGGGATGGGGCCAAGGGGACGGGTTGTGTGGTAGGGGTTCACATAAGTCAGATGGATAATAGAAATGAGAAAGAGGGAAGTGAGTCCTTGTGCCACATATATGTCAGTCCTAACTTTAAAATAATTGGCAAGATCCTGGGAATAGAGGAGACAACAGAGCATGTCAGAGAGGAAGACGTAGGGTGTGATAAATGAAGGAATTCTCAAGGGATAGAGGCATGTGAGTATATCAGGGAAAAGTAGAATTGTTTCAGCTTCCTGCTGCTTGTTAAAGACAATTTACAGTGAGGCATAGTCATAGGGCTTCCTCCAGAGGCACTCAGCAGAGCTAGACATAAAGGGGGATAACAAAGGCAAGGGGAAAGCCAAACTTGGTAGAAGGCATAGCAGATAGATGAGAAAGGGGAGGAAAAACAATCACATCAGCAGCTTCTAGCATGGCAAGTATATGAGGGTATATTTCAAAACCTGTAGTAAAGGGGTGAGGGTGGATTGTCCTGTGTCTCAGGTAATAAGTGTAGGGATAGTACAGTAAATATTGTGAAACTTATAAAAGGCAGCGGTGAACCTGGCTGAGATATCACTCCTGAGGGTGCCAAAGGCCCAGAGAAGGCAACTGCTCGAGGCCACCTGGCCTGTATGTTGCTGGTTTCTTCATAGTGACGGTGCCACTAGAACTCACTGAGAGCAGTTTGGGAAGATTCCCTACTGCAGCATGAGCAACAAGGCAGCCTTTCCGAGAAATTTTCGGTCAGAGCTTAACAAATATGTGCTAGACAACTTTATCTAGACTGTGCCAGAGGACAAAAGGGATATTCTTGTCAAGGTCAACCTAAAACTCTGAAAAAGAAGGGTTGTTATCTGCAAACCTGTTCAAAGATAAACCCCCTGAGCCAGCAAAAAGTCATTTCTACCCCTGAATCCAAGATCAGAATGCAAGTAATTTGTTTTGGACTTGGACACTCAGCCTGGAAAAACAAAGCACCGTGTTTTTGTGTTTTCATTATATGTTTGCTTTACAATTTTATTCATAAAAATATGTACTATTAATTACCACTTACTGGATTGCTTGCAAGGATTATTTTAAATTTTCTATGTATTTTATTTTAACGCTTACATATAGGTTTGAGCATATTTCTTGTTCTGTTTACAAGAATACATCCATTTATGTTGCTAGACATTCTATCTGCCTACCCTGACAGAAGCATGCATGTGGGAGAAGAGGGGCGGGGGGGGGGGGGGGGAAGGGGAGGGGATTTTGGGGCCTGTGAACAATTTTTTTTTTAAGTAGTATGAATTAATACATTTACCTGAGCGACCTTCCCCTTCATCAGTGGATTCCACTTTGGGCCTTGTCTGGGTTGGGTTTGGCTGGCTGTTGAAGAACGCCTGGCTTTCCATGGGGTCAGCATCTTTTGTATCCCCCTTCCTCAATGAGTTCTTCATTGCTGTGAGCTACTGGAGGTTCCTGCCTCTGGATTTCAGTCCACTGTCATTCACAGGGTGGTTGTGGGGGATCCCTGTCCAGTATGGCATCCAGCACCATAATAATATCAGAAGGTGTAGCAGGAAACCTCCATTGCCTTTTGATAGGACTGATATAGTTCCTTTCTCCTTTCTTGGCATTGCTCCTCATCCCTGGCGTACCCCACCTTTAGTTTTTTCTTTGTAATCTCAGAACAAACATCTTTATTCCTATGGCAATTTCACAGCTGGGCTTGCGCTGCCCCTTATTCCCTCAGGCTGAGGAAGTCCAGAACTCCTCTCTTGACCCAGGCTGCAGCATGAGGCTTGCCTGAACTTTTCTTAGCTGCAGCTCCGTCTGGTGACATAGCTGTGCACAGGGCTAGCACAGGTGTGCTCACAAAGGTGGGCTCGTAGGAAGAGAAGAATTTCCAAAACAGGCTGAGGATGTTTCAGTGGGCGGCAGGCTTCTGGTCTGGCAGCCCACAACAAGGCCCTTAGCTCCTGTGTTTGGAATTGCTAGGGAAACCCTGTAGCACCACCCTACGCACATGCTGTGAGCCCTGGGCAGCAGAGTTCAAAACTGGACTACAGCTGTCACCATCACTGGAACAGGGGCACTGTGTGATTGTTGCTAGAGGATGGTTTATATTGGATGAGGTAATGCAGTGTCAACACAGGCAACGAACCAACAGAACAGTGCTGGTACAGGGCTTATGTCGTTTTGGGAGGTGGTTTAATTTGACTGACAGAATAAGAGGGTTTTACTGACAGGATGCAAAATTGTGTGCGGATACATGCAAATATATGCCCCCATACAGCAAGTCTTACTGGTAAAGCTTCATAGTGTAGCCCAGGCTCCAATGTCTCAATACCATCACTTGTCATCCTCCCTGCAAGGAAGTCTAATGTAATTATTTTAAGGTCACTATTACTTAGTAGCTCAGCCACATATATTCAGGAATAAGAGCAGCATCTCATATCCCAAAGCGGTGATGGTTATTATTGTTGTTGTGAAAGGGGCTCGTGGCTGCTTATTAAGGGTTATTGGCAACTGAGGTAACCACCCAGAGGGCCATTAAAGGGACATCTTTGAGGCTAATGTCCGCAGCCAGCCAGCTGAGAGATTCCTAAAACAGAGGCTAGGGGGTGTTGTGGGCTGTGTGGGTGAGTATATTAGCTGAAGAGTTTAACGTGTATGACCCTGAAAGAAAGCAGAGCCAGAGAGGCAGCCTCTCCTCAGATACAGTGCTGACTAGAAGGACTCACCTAGGGATAGTTTAGCAAGGAAGCTACCTGTGTGCTCTATGTTTCTGTTCATGGAAACAAGACTTTGTGTATATTTCTGTAAATAAATGGATTACATCAAGGATTTCTGGGTCACTGATTTTTCACTCAAACGGAACCAACCTACAAGGCCCTGAATTTTGGTTTTGCACTTGTTCTAAGGGTCAACACTTTTATTTGCATTGCAGTAGTGCTTAGAGGCCCCTGTCATGGAACAAGGGCTCGTTGTGCTAGGCATCGAACACACATGTAACAAGTAGACAGTCCCTACCCTGAAAAGCTTACAGTTTAAGACAAAAGAGAAGGTGAGCACAAGGTAATAATGAGCCAGAACTGAGCAGCCGGAAAATCATTGGTCACAGCACACCACATTTTCTGTAGGTGCCGAGGAGAAGAGTTTTAAGGAAGACTTAGAAGGAGAACAATGAGGTGGCTTTGTAGGTGTTTCCATGGAGCTTTTTCCATGCCTGATGGGCAGTCTGGGAGAAATCATAAAGGTGCTTGTTTGAAAATTTTAACATGTGCAAAAACTGCTGGCAGCTCTGGCAAAGCAGAGGCAGGAATGGACATCTCATACCCTATAAGAGATGACAGGTGGGGCAGGGACAAGTATTGAAGGGTCTTGTAGCAGGGCAACTTGCCCCTAAGGGCTGGAAGGCCTATGGTTAGCCAACCCTGATTACTAAGGAGCCACACCTGGGAGAGATCAGTTGCTTGCCCTATAAAGAGCAGCAGAAGGTTCCAGTGGAAAGGAGAATAGTCAGGGATCAGAACTACAAGTGAGCAGAGTTACACTTGTAGAAGTGTACACTAGAAGTGTCCCCTGGGAATTAGGACTGGCAGGGGCCTGCAAAAACAGGAAAGACCCCAGCCAGGAAGGCTGGGAGGAGGAAGAGCAAACTTAGTTTTGGATAGACTTTGTTTTGGGACTTGGTGTTTTATGTGAAGTTTATTTCTATATTAATAAACCCAGGCCCCAAGGACAGGTATTCTTGACCACAAAAAGCCTGGGTGGCATGTTCAAATAAAACTTCAAGACTGGAAACTGAGGCAGGCTGCTTGTACTGTTACCCAAGGCCATGAAGGGGCACATGGGAGTTGACCAGCCTGGTCACAAATCTTAAAAGTGAAGACTATTAGTTTGTGTTTGATCTGATGGAAAAGAGGGAGCCAGTAGAGGGATGCAAGGAGGGGGGTGATCTCATCAAAGCAATGAGCCAGGAAAGTGATCATTATAGCAGCATTTTGAATGGAGATGAACGGGGCAAGAGTGCATTTGTCCAGGCTGGAGACTGGTACTGGTGTAGTACTCAAGATGTGAAATGATGAGCATTTGGACTAGATAGAGAGAATCTTGTGACACTAAACCTGTTTACAGAGTAGTTCAGCATATTGAAAAGTTCGGATTTTCACTTTGTCTCCTGCATTGCCCATAGGCATTTGTACATAGTGATTACATTTAAAGCCTTAACTTCCCAAGACCCTCACTGACTTCAGTAAGACTTGGATTGACTGGTCGTCTCTGTATATCCCTTAGTGTCTCAGATGATTTTTCCACAAGTTGGACCATTGACAAACTCATTGTCTCCATAGGAAATGTAGTTTCTCACTTAGAGATGTTTATTACAAGTACTTGGTTAGTAGCACAAGAAAAATGTCCCTGACACATGGATATTTTAATACAGCAAGTTTACTATTTTCCAACCATATACCTCAACTGCTTACCACTATTACGTGACTCTCTTTATTCAGATTGTGTTGATTAAGCAGTATCACCCCCTTGATTTTCAGATCCAAGGGAGATTTTGCAAGCCTGGCACTTAGCAAACATTTTTTTAACATGTCTGAAACAGAGATCATTGAGCAAATTTGTAGTTAAAAATCAACATATCTGATCTTTTTACTTGTGAAGGCATGTGTTTGATACAAAAATCAGAGTTGGTAAAATGAGCATCTCATGGCCATCTTTTCCAAAATGATTGTTCAGTGATAATCACACTCTAAATCTTAGTTAACACAAAATGCATGCAAGAGGGTTCTATTGTCTTTCATGCTTTCAGATGGATTTTTCTACCACAGATGGGGTGAATGGATGTTTTGCACAGAAGTACTAGTTCCTCTTCTATTTTGCCAGGGTCTGGTCTACATCTAAAACTTAGGTCGACCTAGCTATGTCACTCAGGGCTGTGAAAAATTTCACAGCCTGTGCGATGTAGTTAGGTCAACCTAACCCCCACAGTTGATGCAGCTACACCAACAGAAGAATTCTTCCATCAGCCTTCTCGAAAGGCAGGTGGATTTACTAAAGAACAGGAAAAACCTCTTCCCTCGCTCTAGTGTCTATACTATAGCAGCATAGCTGTAGTGTGTTGCTGTAGCATTTGTAGTGCAGACATACCCAAGAAAGATTGTGGGTCAGTTTGGAATCTTTGAGTGGTCTCTTTCATATGCATAGGATTTGACTCACTTCTATTGCTTCATTTTGGAGTATGATGTATTGGCTACCTGGGCACTGATCTTGCCCCTGCAGAAGGCCCCAGGTGTGGTGCAGTTGGTGGGGTTCTGCTGTGTAGGACAATGAGGGGAGACAGGATTTGCTGAACCCACACAGGCCCAAATGCTCTGCATTCTACAAATCTCAGCTCTCTGGGGGCTCCTGGTATGTATCTACATAGCAGCTAGAGAGGGAGTGGCCTGGGGGAAGAGACAGGCTGACACCAGTGCATCTATTACTAGCAGAACAGAGGTGCAGGAGTGACTTATCTACAGCTCCACAGCATGGGAAGACTATTCAGCCCTCCCCATTCCGAAGTAATCCATTTTTGGTCTGAAGAACCAGATTTAGCCCTCTAAAAGAAATACAGATATTTACATGGTTCTATGTTACTATTATACATACAGTAAAAAATCAAGGATTAAAAACATAATACTGACATGGCATAGTAATGAATCCTCTAGCTCCACATCAGAGAAATGCTCCCCTCTCTCCAATCAACTGGTTACAATATTTTATTTAAGCTTACTTCTATAAGTAAAGCATCTTGACTATTAATCATAGAAATGAACATATTCATCCTTTTCTCTTTGGAGGTCAAAGCAGGTTCATAGCATACCCTAAAACATTTCCATTGTTTTTGTTTCCACTGAATGCAAGGAAAATATGGCGTTGACTTCATTAAATAAAAGAATAAAATAAAAGCAGAAGTAATTTTCATAAGTTAGATGTACAGATTTCACAGCTCAGAAATAAGGATGTCAAACGTGTCCAGCTTGTACAGCCCTCCTACACAGAAACCACAAGGTCTCAATGATAAGTCACTGAAACCACAGCATTCAGCTTTTTGTCCACAACTACCATTACCAAATGGGCGTTCTTGCTTGCAGTGCGGTGTCTGATCACACAATCGTTTTTCCAAGGTTCGCTTAAAATGCTGAACTGTGAAAAAAAGAAAACCTCATTATGCAAAGCAACTACCCTGTATAGCTTTTTAATTTTTTTAAAATATATATGTGCACACACCTTAAAAGGATCAGTGCAGAAGATCTTAAAAGAAGCCATTTTCCAGGGATGCCACACAGGATTTGTCATATAAAGGAGGGTACATTTGGATGTCCTTTAACCACCTTCAGGATGTTACCTTAACTGCCCAAAGCAAAGAAACAGGGCTTGAATACACATAAAATTTGTGCCACTTTAACTATACGAGTATAGGTAAGTGGTACAACCCCCATAGTGTGAGTGAAGTTATTGGTATAAAGGTGCATTATACAGCCACTCCTATATGGGACATGGAATAACTCTACTGGTATAAGGCATCTTTTTACTGGTATAACTGTGTCCACACTAGTGCTTTTGCTAGTATAACTACATTGGTTAAAAAAAATAATCACACCTGTAACCAACAAAGTTATCCCAGTAAAATTTCAAGTATAATGGGGAGATAGGCCTCTGAGTTATGGCATTTCTGTACCTTCTTTCTTAAAGAAATTGTATCAGGTCAAATTTGGCCCCAAATTTAAGTTTAGTAAAAAGTTAGGGGCCTGATTCCGCTCTCATTTGCAGTTAAATACCATTGGGACTAAGTCACTCCTGATTTACACCAGCATGAGAAGACAATTGAGCCAGAGATTTTATAAAACCCAAGACACAATAGAAATGTTGCCATGGTTTTTAAAATTCCAGCATAAAGTTTTTTTTAAATTTAACCTCCAGTGTTTACAATCTAAAGACAGCATCACCATTCTAATGCATGAGAACAAGAAAGTGATTCCAACTAGGACTAAAAGTGAAGTTCATTAATCATGCAAAAAACATAATAGTCAAAAAATAAATTAGATTTTAAAAAATAGTTTAATTTTAAATAATCTATAAGGTATTTGTAAAAAAGCAGTATGGACAATGATCTTCGGCCAAAACCCATTAAAGTCAATGGAAAGATTCCCAGATTTCAATGGACACTGGATCAGGCCCTATATAAGGATTGCCTGTCACTCTTGAATCTAAAATTTCATGGTATTTCTTGGTTTCAGGTTTTTAACATAGAAGTAATTTTCTTGTAAATGTAGTTTCTTTCTGTCAGTGAATAAAACAAAGGAGACCCTCTTGTAATTCTGACCCACTCTGTTCACCATACATGCCTTAGTAAGAAAAGAACATTTCTTCTACCAACTGTATCTAAACCAGATTTCTTGTTGTGTTCTTACTTTACACCACACTGAGTTTCATTCCAGTATACTGTCATTACTCTTTACAACATACATCATACGGACTCTGAATGGAGTCTTCAGTATGTGTGTATTATTCAAAGAGAACTCTTAGGTAGCCGGAAGATAGTATGTTGTTCAGGGTAGCTTGAATGATGACAGGTCTACTTCATGAGAAAGGCTGAAGATCTCCAGAACAATGAAAATACCCCAAGTACAATAGTCCATGAGCAAGTAATCCTTTCAGTATGGAGGAAGGAGGGGCTCCTCTTTATCAATTATCTCCCCATCAGTCCCAATCCCATTATTTGGGGACTGGCCAAATTCCAGTTTCCACAATTATATTCTGTTTCCATAAAGTTTCCCATAGAAGTGTTATAGTGTTCTTCACTTCCTGTCCTAAAATGCTATATTACACTTCACAAGTGGCTGCACTTTAATGGTGGTGAAAGTTATTACTAAAGTACTAAGTGTTTGATATTTTACGGAACACACAGTAAAACTTGGTTCTTGCACTATAAAGGTTATAACCTGACAAATATACCATATGGGAACACAGTTCAAGAATGAGAAAGTTCAAAAATATTATTGATGAAGAGATCAATATGAGACTGCTTCATGAAATAAGCAAATTTTAACAGATCTGTAGAGAGAAAGGGGAAAGCTACAGGTCATCCAGGAAGCATGAGGCTGTTCCAAGACTTAGGACTTGTCTATACAGGGACACTCAGCAAAATTAATCTGAATTAACTTTTAAAGTGGGTTAGTAGTTAAACTGTATTCAGAATTAAAGTGGCCTTAAATCAGTTTAGTTTAATTAACTTTAGGGTATGTCTACACTATGAAATTAGGTCGAATTTATAGAAGCCAGTTTTATAGAAATCGGTTGTATACAGCCGATTGTGTGTGTCCCCACATAAAATGCTTTAAGTGCTCAAGTCGGCGGACTGCGTCCACAGTACCGAGGCTAGCGTCAACTTCCGGAGCATTGCACTATGGGTAGCTATCCCACAGTTCCCACAGTCTCCGCCGCCCATTGGAATTCTGGGTTGAGATCCCAATGCCTGAATGATGCAAAACAGTGTCGCGGGGGGGTTCTGGGTACATGTCGTCAGGCCCCTCCCACTCCGTCAGAGCACCGGCAGACAATGGATTCGCGCCTTTTTACCTGGGTTACCTGTGCAGACAACATACCACGGCAAGCATGGAGCCCGCTCAGATCAGCTCACTGTCACCATATGTCATCTGGGTGCCGGTAGACGTGGTACTGCATTGCTACACAGCAGTAGCAGCTAACTGCCTTTTGGTGGTAGATGGTGCAGCATGACTGGTAGCCCTGGGGCTGGCAGCCGTAAGGCTGCATTGCACCAGCCCCTTGCCTTTTGGTAGAAGATGGTATATTGCGACTGGTATCCGTCTCATCGTACTGCAGTGGCTGTCAATCATGGGCACCTGGGCAGACATGCAACTGTCTCGATGATGATGGCTATCAGTCGAAGTATGCTATTTTCTGCCAATCGCCCAGTATTGTCTGCTAAGCACCCAGAAGAGGCCGAGGGCGATCTGGGTGCTGGCAGACGTGAAGCTGGCAGATGTGGAGCTGCATTGCTACATAGCAGCAGCCCCTTGCCTTTTGGTAGAAGATGGTATATTATGATTGATATCCATCATCGTCATACTGCGGTGGCTATCAGTCATGCTGCACCGTCGGCTGCCAGCTTAAGATGTAAAAAATAGATTTGTTCTGTATTCATTTGCTTCCCCTCCCTCCATGAAATCAACGGCCTGCTAAACCCAGGGTTTTGAGTTTAATCTTTGGGGGGACCATTCTGTGTGACAGTTGTTTGTGTTTCTCCCTGATGCACAGCCACCTTTCTTGATTTTAATTCCCTGTACCTGTACGCCATGTCGTCTCTTGGCCCTCCCTCCCTCCTTCCCCAGAAGTGGGCTAAACAGGAATAAGGCATTCTTGTTCTGGAATAATAGTGTCTACACATGGAGTTGTTCAGGAATAGCATTGTGCTTTAAATTAATACCCCCTTTTAATCTGAATTCACTTTTAAGTGTAGACAAACCCTAAAGAGTGGCATAAAATTAGGTGCAAAGCCAAGTGGTTGAAAAGGAGACAAAGTGAACAGCTAGGAGAGAAGGTGTGGATGCATACAGAGGTGGTGGAGGACGAAATGAAAGAAAAGTAGTGAGAATTTTGAAGATGCCCATGGTATGTAGCTTATCTACCAATGCTCAGTCCTGCAAATGCACATGGGAGTAGGCCCATTAACTTCAGTGGAACTAATCTTGTGAATAGTTATGCATGTGCATATTGGGCCCAAAATATGTAGCATACTCTGAACTCTTGGAGTAAAAGATATTTTATAAATGTAAGCTACTAATACTACTAATTGCTGCAGCTGTGTTCTTTCTTATTGACAAGAAACCAAATATAAACAAAATATAAAGTCATACTGCACACCTCTGCTAAACAGATAAATACTAGGATAATCAAGTTGGACACAAACCAAACATTCATCACAAAATTGGGAAGTGTCCATGTGGCTTTATGTTCATATGACATCTTCACAAGGTCTGCTCTTACCAAAGATAACAAAATAAATTAAAAGGATTGTGATCTAGGCAAGTTCAGAATTATGTAGACCGTGCTGTAAAACAATGTTTTTACTTGCACAGGGAGCTATTTTTTACATATGGCATAGAATCATAGAAGATTAGGGTTGGAAGAGACCTCAGGAGGTCATTTAGTCCAACCCCCTGCTCAAAGCAGGACCAATCCCAACTAAATCATCCCAGCCAGGGCTTTGTCAAGACGGGCCTTAAAAATCTCTAAGGATGGAGATTCCACCACCTCCTTAGGTAACCCATTCCAGTGCTTCACCACCCTCTTAGTGAAATAGTTTTTCCTAATATCCAATCTAGACCTCCGCCATGGCAACTTGAAGCCATTGCTTCTTGTTCTGTCATCTGCCACCACTGAGAACAGCTGAGCTCCATCCTCTTTGGAACCCTGCTTCAGGTAGTTGAAGGCTGCTATGATATCACCCCTCACTCTTCTCTTCTGCAGACTAAATAAGCCCAGTTCCCTCAGCCTCTCCTCGTAAGTCATGTGTCCCAACCCCCTAATCATATTTGTTGCCCTCCACTGGACTCTCTCAAATATGTCCACATCCTTTCTGTAGTGGGGGGCCCAAAATTGGACACAATGCTCCAGATGTGGCCTCACCAATGCCGAATAGAGAGGAATAATCACTTCCTTCGATCTGCTGGCAATGCTCCTACTAATGCAGCCCAATGTGCCATTAGCGTTCTTGGCAACAAGGGCACACTGTTGACTCATATCCAGCTTCTCATCCACTGAAATCCCCAAGTCCTTTTCTGCAGTACTGCTGCTTAGCCAGTCGGTCCCAAGCCTGTAGCGGTGCATGGGATTCTTCCGTCCTAAGTGCAGGACTCTGGACTTGTCTTTGTTAAGCCTCATCAGATTTCTTTTCACCCAATCCTCTAATTTGTCTAGGTCACTCTGGACCCTATCCCTATCCTCCAGCGTATCTACCTCTCCCCCACAGCTTAGTGTCATCTGCGAACTTGCTTAGGGTGCATCCATCCCATCATCCAGTTAATGAAGATGTTGTATAATACCGGCCCCAGTACTGACCCCTGGGGCACTCCACTTGATACCAGCTGCCAACTAGACATCGAGCCATTGATCACTACCCACTGAGCCCGACGATCTAGCAAGCTTTCTATCCATCTTATAGTCCATTAATCCAATCCATACTTTTTTAACTTGCCGGCAAGAATACTATGGGAGACTGTATCAAAAGCTTTGCTAAAGTCAAGGTATATCACGTCCACCGCTTTCCCCATATCCACAGAACCAATTATCTTACCATAGAAGGCATTCAGGTTGGTCAGGCATGACTT